TGATTTCCATTTGTAGAACACATTGGATTGTGGGAAAATCAATGTTTATCAACACAAAAGTCGCACATGCGCAGCGCGACGACTACCGCGCTTTAAACGGTCATTAAGTTACCCATGATTACCCATCATTGAGTGTGACGTCATTTATGATTTGGGTAATGTATGTACAGGTGATTTTCGATTTTTCACCAACTTTACTACAAAACAATACTTGTAGACCAATCATTTTACATTGAAGGGCGGTAGAGTCGTCGCGCCGCGCATGTGCGAGATATGGGTCTCATAAAAACTAAGATGGCGATTATATGACTGTTGTGCAAACCAACCAGTACACACTGAGAGCTTACCAAGTTTAATTAGGTAATTTGTTGGTGTTTGAAAAGTACCGAAGGAGTCGCCTGCGGTAATTAGTGCTAGTTGCGCTTTTAGACAAAACTCGTACTCGTGATTTCATTAGAAAAGCGCTTTGTATTATAGGAAAATCAATGTTTATCAACACAAATGTCGCACATGTGCGGCGCGACGACTGCCGCCCTTTAAAAACATTCGTAACCCAGAACACTTCAATGTCATTCATTTGTTATGAACTACAGCGGAGAAAAACACAGTGTACACGTTACACGTGCTGCGAGTCTAAATACGTGTGTGCCGACAAGTTATAAATAGTTGGTTATTTCCCGTCATGCCTCATTTCCGCCACAGCCCTTGAGTTACACGTGTCATTCTCTTGTCAATTTCATGGCAGTTTGTTGGTCGTTTGTTTATTGTAGTTGTTTTGCAATAGTTGATGGGTTATGTAATTGTTTTCGATTTGACTACTACACGCCATTCGGATAACATTTGTAACTTTTGACGAGCATTTTTAATCAGTAAAAATGTGACAAAAGTTGGCAGAATTTGTTGCAGGCCTTACTACCTGGTATTGACGATGAAACGAATGTTGCTTAATCCCGGACGTCAAACTGTTCAACAGGTCTCACACTTCAGACTCCATGAGCCGTGAAACCAGTAAACTGATATTGTAGCAATCGTTCTCTAAAGCACTAATCATGTCACGAGAGGACGACTGCATGACGGTCAGCGCTGACGTCATTTCCGCCAGTTTGTTTTCAAGTCGTGTCCCCTCGCCAATCAGATCGGTCTGTACATGCTCGATATTTTCATGTTTCTCATCCAGCTCCATCCTTTCGTACTCCGTCTTGATCTCCTTGTAGATGTCAGTCGAAGTTTTGAGCTTCAGTTCTGTTTTGATCACGTCAACGAAAGACTCGGCAATAGACTCGGCTATAGATGACCTCGCTGATGTATCATTCTCTACCTGGGGAAGGTCTTCAAGTCCAAAATCAAATTCATTTCTGTGTGAAGATTCCTGATGTGTCTGGCCATCCTGCAAGAAAAGTACATTGAGCAACAATAACAACTTCTGGGATGATGGGAACATTACGGCATATCATTTAAACGTTATCATTAAATATGCCAATCACAACGGTTTATTTGCTTTATATCTATCCTATTCAAAGCGGGGGAGTTGTCACCTGCGCATGCGTCCGATGGTCATAGCGTGTCAATGCGTTGTGTCGTCACCGGAAGCGCTGTCCCAGCACAAACCTGTGTCATATGACGCCTTACTAGCCGATTTTGGCTAAAATTCCGCTCCGCCGCCTCTTTACAACAGTGTTTATACGCGGAACTTGATATTGCTTTTTACAATTTGGGTTGTCTTTGAAACACATATTTTAGTGAAATATTGTTTATAGAGTGAAATATTATAGTCATACATAATTCAATCTTTGAAACAACAGAAACTAACACATAATAACGATAATCAAATTTGTGTTTGAAGTTCGAAAGTAGTTGCCTTATTTCCGGTTTCAACTAGTTCGAAAATGAACGTCCTTGAGCGCAATAAAATCACGCATAGAACTCCATCCGAACCAGACTCTAGCAGCGTAAACTTATTGCAATTTGCGCAATTTGGGCCCAGTTTGTTCTTACAAGTTTTCTAAGTTTCATTTATCATTATTTAGTAAACAGGTCTCTGAAAAGATTTAATATATCCGTAAAATACGTGGCAATCGACAATTGACTTCGAAACGTTCGAAATTTCGAACAAACTCCCGGCACCCCTTGCGCGATATGCGTCAGATCGGTGTAGAAGACGCCGAACTGCAGCGTCAATGGTGTCAATGTTTACAGACAAACGTCTACCCATGAGCCTTTGCGTTTTTAGCGTGTGCTGTTATCATCGTCTGGGACTCAATTCCCGCGCGTGCGCAGGTGACGCCCCCCGCTTTAATCTTCAAACAATCACACGGTCTTTAATCAGGATGCCCCCATTGGTAAATATACAATGTTAACCCTTTAACCTGAAATACCCTTTGTCAAAGGCATGTTACGAAATTAATTCAAAGTATCCAATAAATCATCACTATATAAAAAAAAAAATATGTTTACTTCAGTCGCTGTAGACTTTTTGCACAAACATTTAGCTCCACGAACGATGCAAAGAACGATATTGAATGGCACAGGAGCATCGGAATGGTCACGGAATTCTAATATCTGCTCTGCTCTGGCAAAGTTATAAGTTTCGCCGGAACTAGCCTGTAAAACAGAAAACAATCACATAGATTAAAGGGTGGTAGTCGTCGCGCCACGCATGTATGGGTCTCATATAAACAAAGATGGCAACTGCGACTGTTGCGCAGATCAACGAGTACAAACCGAGACGTCACCAAGCTTTATTTACGTATTTTTGTAGGTGATTGGAAGGTATCGAATGAGTCGTCGGCTGTAATTAGTGCAAGTCGCGCCCAGGTCAAACCTCATACTTGTGATTTCCAGTAGAAGAGCGCATTGGATTATGGAAAAGTCAATGTTTATCAACACTGTTTGTGACAAAAGTCGCACATGCGTAGCGCGACAACCACCGCCCTTTAATAGTTGTGTAATATCTGCACTTCACTGTAACGCATCCCAATCACCATATCGCTGTTTTCGTGAAATGATGCAATCAGTACGATAAATATGACTTTTACCTACCTCTATCCGATTGTATGTGTCACTTATTTGGGCTATCAGCATATTTAACAGCACAATAACGGCCAACAGATCGTACAAGCCGACAAGCAACTTGGCAGCGGTATCAACAGAATGAATTGGCGAAGAGAAGTCTTCAAGCTCCTGTAGACCAAATAAACTCCAAAACAATTGCTCCATGTGGTAAAACAACCTAAGCAATGTATATTACATAATGAATTAGTATTCATGTTTCAGGGCCAAATCATACAATACATTGTGAATTGTCAATTACGCAGACTACATTTCTATTCGTCTTTATTTGGATTTGATAACATAACGGGGGAATGATGTCATGGAAATGTCATTAAAAAACGAACCACATTGGCATGAATAGAAAAACAAAAACGTTATGTCTTGTCTTTGTACGAAATTTAAACAAATCTGCCACAAACTGTCAAAAAAATTGAGTAGGATACTTGACGATAAAACCAACATGGCACCAGTCCGCTTTTTTGAAACCATGTCACTAAACTACATATATGCATCAGTGTCATCATGTATGAAGTTCATATCAAGTTTGAAAAAAATGGCCTAGGCATACACACCGAAGAAACAGTTGATGACATGACATTTTTGTGACTTTTTGACGGAAACAACTGCCTGTCAGCTAAATTCCACTCAAATACCAAAACAACCGGGGCAACATGCATACAATCATGTAATGCTTATATACCAGATCACGATTCAAACACAATTGCATTCTCGCGAGAAATGACATCGGGAAACAGAAGATACTGTTCGAACTACGTCCGACGGGGACTACATTGCACTGGTACTTAAATACTAGACAGCGGCGAACTGTCCAGTTTGTTAAATATATGTTCTTAGCGTGTGTTGTTATCCTCGCTTTGGACTCATTTCCCGCGCGTGCGTAGGTGACGACCCTCCCGCCTTAAAATAAAATTCCCATGTGAGAACAGGTAACACGTACATATAACCGTATAAGTGATAAAATAAGGCAACAACGAAGAATAATTAGCGTATCGAAAAGGATAGTCAGTGTGAACGAGCTAAGAACATTAAATACAAAGTTACATTACGTTTGACCTTGAACCGTAGCACTTATGTCAGTGGATCCGTCCAGAAAGGTGATGTCAGAGTTCAAAATCCCTACACCAACAGCGTACACCTGTGACAATGTTACATAAATCATATCATATCAAATATTGTTATGACAATGGTATTTACGATATACGATGTGATAATAATATTTAGGCTGCGAAAAAAAATATCTCAGTTTCTCGTTTCCGCGCGCATCATTTTGAACTATGCGCCTCGGACGTTTTTTTTTTCTTCTAAAGCATTCCAAATGCGCTTGTACTCGCAGTTGTCTCAAATTCCCCCCATTTCAGCTCAGTATTCAAAAAAAAAAAAAAAAAAAAATCACGAGTAACATAGAATTTGTTTTCCTGGCCTTACTATGGTATTTGTTTACGTCATACAATTGACCATTTCATTCAACCTCGTTCGCAGCTTGTCTGGTAATGAATATATAAATGCCATCACTACTTGAGATATCGTATACAGGTTGTAACCCACTTGTTATTTCGTCTATATGAACGACGAAGTCTTGAACAGTTGGTGGCGCACTCTAACAGAATATCGCGTGCACCAAAAACATGCAAAGGATCTATAGACCTTAGAGGCCGCCGGGATCTCGTTGAGCGCGAGAAAGAAATAATGTTCAATTTTCTCTCATCATCGGCGGCTATTTGCATCTACGATCTCTAAAATAATGATTGTTATTTAGATGTTGATTTGTACCTGTTGACTGGCAATACTGAATGCCACCAATTCAACAACCAAGATGGCGATCAATTTGATCACATCACTGAACATCGAAAAAAATGACAACTGAAGTGGGCCAAGGAGACTGCTTACTTGGAGATAGTAAAGAACCCTGTAACAAACAAACACATATTTATGTGGTAACGTGTATTGAACATATAGTAACGAAAGCAATGTCATGCAATATCACCATGTGGCCGTGTATTACCCAATCATGTCATATGGTGAGCGTTAATGTAGCTGGGACCATATTCACCTACCTTACATGAGCCACTAAAGTTAAAAAAGCGATAGAAATATCAATTGCTTCGTTTACAGCTTTGGACTCGGTTGCACCAGCCGTGACGACAAAGTCCATGACATTGATAATAAACTGAGAACATATTAAAATGACATCAAATGCATTTCCTGGGCTACGTAGATAGCTCATCAATGACTTCTCTTCGGAGTATTGCTGTATCTCTTCTAACAAATATCCCACTATAAATATGAGAAGAAGAATGTCTACCACGTCCACAGAATCATCAGTAACAACACTGACGGTGACGCATTTCAAAACCAGTAAAATCAGGAACATGATGTAGGATGCCAGACTGGAATAGAACTTAACGTATGGCGAGTTATTACAGAGGTTCACCAAACCGATGAGAGCATTCTGTTTAGATAGCATTGCATGGAGCACAGACGAATACTTGGATTCGGACTTGGACGAGTCAGCTGCGTCTTCCACACTCGACTTAGCTTTGTTGTCGTTGCAGCTCTCGATAACCCAGTGGTAGCAGTAGACAAATGGGGATATTAGTAATATCAGGATCAGTAACACCGGTGCCATTATGTACACAATAACAAGGCCCCAGACTGATGGATGGTAAGGCGTGTGGTAGATCTCGTAGACTTTACCATACCATACTTCGCGAAGGTAATGTTGCACGTGACCAGACGAGATGAACTGAAACATACAAGAGATGAATGCTCATTTTTGAAGTCGAATTTAAAAAAAAAATCACAATAACATGATTTATATTGTAAATGGGGAGAGGGCGAATGGCACCTCATGGATAGCTTCGGTTACCGACAGCTCATGACCACGATGGCACAGTTTAGCAAGCATTGGATTTCTCATGTTAAACAGAATCTGTTAATAGCCAATTATGCTTGAATGTGTAAATGAAAAATAAATTCCTCTATTCAAAATGAAATAACACTGTAATGGGGGACATAGCAAAGTCATAAGTGGGTGTCTCAATTTGGTTATGATAGTCATGGGAAAATGCCGCCCCAGTACCAGAGATGACTACACCAACCAGGTTAACGCTTGAAAATGTTACATACATCAACACTGGCGAACAGTCCTTCACTAAGAGACCTAAAGCACGATATTAGAAGAATATAGAAAGAGTTAAACTAATATATATACATTATTTTAATGAAGGATGGGACATGCAATTTACATGTTTCAGTGTGACATTTCCGACTATCTGAATGGTCTATTACATCCACCAACTCCCTGCCCAAACAAATTTCTGGTCAATTTGACAAGTTTGTTTTTTGGTAAGTCTTTTGTTTTTCTAAGGACGAGTGGAACATATATTTTTGGAGATGCGTTTTGGTCAATACATTTGTATAATAAATATCTCTGGTGTTGTAGTATGATTTGCAGGTATGGTTTTCACGCCTTAAATCTCAACGGATCAAAATGTAAATATGTACTTGCTACTTTTGGAGCATGCGCATAAAAACATATGAGATAATGAGATTGGACATTCTTACTTTCTTATGCCGATAGTCTACTGCATATTTCAAAAGTCGTTCATCATTTTCTTTGAGCAGTATAGCAGCGGTTTTAAATCCATGGCATGAGCTCATAAGTCTTGCTGCTAGTTCGTCAAGGTGATCGGAGATCTCTCTGAAGTCGTTTGCCATATTCTGAAATACAATAAATGTATTAACAAAGTCATTCTAGCCTTAAAGTGGAAAACATTATTATATTGTTATAGTACTCAACATATATAATAGCGAAAATACTGTGTAACATGCCGCAAGTGATGATAAAATGAAATTACATCACTATTATTTGTGGAGTGCCAACGAATATACTCCAGCAAATGTATGTTTTGATAATACGGAAGGAAAACAAACATCACGATTACTCTACAAACCTCTGTTGTTTTTGAAACTTTCTTGAATATGGTTGCCGCGTGTAGTGCAGTTTCAATCGGCCTCGGGCTTCCGATAATAGCTTCCTCTGACGTCAGAATCTCAGCGATACTTATGTCGCTTATGATGTCATCATTCTACCATAATAATGAACAAAAATGTCAAGCATTAAAGACGTTATCCGCACATGCGTAGTTTGTTTTCAAATTTATTTCTACTGTTACATTAGGTTGAATAGAGTCCTATCAAGTCACACGTGTTTAAATAGTTGCGTTGAGCGTACACGTCCTTATCATATAAACTGTAGAGTTGGGAAAAAAACATATACATATATATCCCATATCAGATTCCCCAAATAAAAAGTTGAAAATAACAAAATACATAAAATTAAGAAAGAAAATAAACAAATGGTCACAATTTGCATGGTATTTAAATATACTGATTTAACAATGATTTGTAAGCTGATTTTAATTTCACTCAATGTTTTTGAGCCAGAAAATATAAATTCTCTGGATATGATTTGGTCGAGCTCATTTTTGTTATGTCTGGAATGGTGTGAGTGATTTTAACATGTGTTCATCTGTCATGTCACCTGTTTTTTTTATTTCGATGTTTCAAAGCTTGGGTGGGGCTTCAATAGATAACTTACTGGTCGAGATTTCATGTACAACTGTTCTAATGGCGTTTCATCTCGTTCCCCGCAGCGAATCATGGGATCGGCACCACATTGCATAAGAGCTTGCATCACATCAATATGCTTAGCACGAGCAGCAAGGTACAGGGCAGTAAATCCTGACGCATCTTTGTCGTTGATGGCGCTGCATGAACCGAGGGCCCGTATTACGTCAGCATAGTTGGATTTCACAGCGGTATGATACATTGTCTGCTGATGCGAGTATAAATGGTTCCGAACAATACCCTTTTGGCGCACCAAGACTTCTATGGCATCGAGTTTTCTTGTCAACGCTGCGAGCTGTATTGGGGTTAGTCCCCGGCCGTCTATTGCATTCACATCAGCGCCTAGATTGCGAGACAACATGAATGGTCATTACTCGCAATTACGTGCCACGACGTACCCACAGATATTGGAATGGCAAAGAAACAGGAGTCACGCAAACATTAAAATCCAATGCATAAATTATATAAAAATAGCTGTGTAAACAATACAAGAGTACAGTACTATTTCAAGGACGTATGTGTGGCGTGCACGACTAATAAATAAATAAATAAATAAATAAATAAATAAATAAATAAATAAATAATATTTACCTAAGTTACAGAGGGAATTTACGATATCGCCTAATTCTTCTGTGACGTTCTCCGACTCACACAATTCATGGAGAGGTGTCCTACCCAGACTGGATTGAATGTTGACATTAGCCAATGCAGACAGCAGTATTCGGATCAAATCAGTGTTCCCGTGTCGACATGCCTCATGCAGGGCCGTGTTGCACAGATCATCACGGGTGTTTACAAAACTAAACCCTGGCTGTTTTGCAAACCTGAGGGCATACAACGCCATTGTTGTGACATCCTCGTGTACGTGACGTGCCAGCAAATGTAGTAAAGTTCCGCTGGTTTCAGTGAAAGGACAGGCAGGGTCGAGTCCGTTATATAGCATTGACAGCACACGTTTTTTGTCCTTATTCTTCACTGCCATTTTAACCAAAGCGATACTACGATCAACATCTTCAATTGGATCCATTGTGACAGTCAGGGATGACGTACTTATAAAACAACAGGTTGTCGGCGGATGGTCGAACCCCAGATGTGATCACTTTAGTACACTTCCATACAACACATCGATCCGCAATACAGGAACACACATGTCAATAAATCCTTATTTAGAAGTATAGTATAACAAATGTTTTGCGTTTTTTGTCTCTAAGAATATTTGGAAAACGCCAATGTTTCTATCAACCGTGAGCGTTAATTTACAAAACAAATGCTTACCAGTACCAGCCTAAAATGATTACTCGTATTATAAATGAATACATAAATAGGTCATCTGTACTAATTTTATTTTCTGAATTAACGATGTTGCTGGTTATTCGAGAACGATATCATGTGCGTTGTATTTGACAAACGTGAGAGCATATCGAATCAGTTACAAAATTGAAGAATGATCGTCCCTTTCTGTAACGAAATAGTTGCTTAGCTGTGATGAATTTGTTTACGCGTATCTGTTGATCGACTTAATTAGTTGATTACGAGTGAATTGCTGTGTTATGTCTGTCATCGTTTAGGCAGGCGAGGTCCTGGACGGAACTTGGCTCAGTGATTTGGAACTAATTACGAGATAACCGTCGCTATTCGGACTACTATTTCTGACTGTTTAGTATTCGCAGTTATTAATGTATTGAACGATTAATCAAAAGATATGACGTGTCTAGTACTTAGTGTGATTGGCTTTATGATTGAAGGTTACGCCCTAGAGTCTTTTTACTGCTTTGGAATTGGTCAAGATTTTGAAAATGAAAAAAGAGTTTTTAGTTGGTCTTGGCGAGTACACGAGGACAGACGCAGTCCAGTCTTGGAGAGTCTTGGGGCGAGCCTTGACGCAGTCTTGGGTCAGCCTTGCGATAGTCTTGGGGACTTTTCCCCAGGGCGCTGTGTCTTATAGAGTGCTCGAATGATCGACTAAGACGAGAGGTGAAACGTATTTCGTTGTGTGTGTCTTATTTGACTATAAGATTTAAGTGACTTTTCCGATCCCGCACCTCAAGGGGACGCGATAGAGAGACGAGACGAGATTCCCTCCTGACACGTGTGGAGAACCCAGAGAGAAAGATTTTCCCCCTGATATAGCGAAGAATTATCGAAGTGAAAGTAAGCAATGTAGGCAAAATCCCCTCGTCATTTTCGTGATACAGCACGAGAATATCGAGCACACTATTTTTTTAGGGTGAAGCGTGTCAACAGAAACAGACACTCACACTGAATCTATAATAATAATAATAATATATTTATTTCCTATCCCACAAGATTCAACATCTACAGCAACGATGAATTGTACCTACAATAATAATGGGATGATCAGCGGCCATTGAAGGTCTAAAAGTGACAGAGGGATGTCGCAAAGAATCAGGTTAGGCAAATGACATGTGCATGTAAACTTCAGTATCCGAAAATGTCTTTATCATATAATGGATTTGCACATAATAAGTTCGCGAGAAAAAGAAATTTCAAACTTGTTGCTGAACAATATTACGTCAAATTTGATAGCTACATCTTTGTGTGCAAAGTGTTGCAAATGGACAGTTTTAGTCCATATTAGTAATATAATACTTGACGGAAAAAATCAGCGAAGTGAAAAATCATCTATAATCAAATTAACTGAAAGTTCTGGCGCAGGGGTCGTGTTGATGCAGAAGTGTAAATGTCGCCCTCTAGATGTTTGGTTGAGGAGCTAATGACCAATAAATGGTAGATTATTATCTCTTGGCTGCATACCAACGTCTATGATCCGTTACGCTACTTTTTTTTTTATAACCAACTCTTATGAATAAACATTGAGTTCAGAACAACTGTTTTCTCACCAACATCAGATTGCTAGCCACACATCTTGTCCGGTTTTCTATGGGTGAAAATAAATCTCAAGTTGGAAACTTTGCCATGTTCTATCTCAAAATTTAGCCCACACATTATGACAAAAGGGGCTCTAAACCATTTTTAGGTACCAAGGAATAACGCCAATTGTGTGTGATAGCAATATATATTATTTAGTGTAGTATTCATGTGTTGAAAAGTTCGAAATTATAACTAACATTTATATAAATAGCCATTTTAGCCATCTGCTAAACATTGTACATAATCTAAAATAACGTGACAGTCACTGAAAATTCCACCACTCCATCTGCATGAACGCCCACACGTTAACCAAACTCTCGCATCCAATTGATTTAACACCTGATTAAAATCTTTTCAGTCATAATTACATAATTTATAGCAGGAACCATATGGCGTTCGTAGAATCCTTTGTTTAAAAGCTATTTAGAGAATCTTAAACAGTACATACATGCCCAATGGTCATAACCCCTCTTCTATTTCAGTCAGGTTTAGGATACCACAAGTATCTATACTTGGACCACTTCTTTTTCTCCTATATATCAAAGTTCTACCTTCCTCGTCATCCTTTTTTGACTTTAAACTTTTTGCAGATGACAACAATTTATTCTATTCATTTTCTAATAATACGTACCATAAAAATGAAATTGTAACTATTCACAATCATGTGACAAACTCGTGTGCTGCCGATAAACAGTAATAAAACAAACTCAAATCCCAGAAAATCTTCCCTTCAAACAACGACCAGAATTGAATCTCAATATTAATATGTTATCTAATGTTAATACAGCTAGGAAACCTCACATAAAACATGTGTTAGCAATAATCACACCACTGATAGACTTAATTTCAAAATTACGCTACTTCTTTCCAAGGTTCGTTCTCATTCGACTTTACAATTCCTTAATTCTCCCACATTTATCTTGTGGTTTAGAAGTCTGGGGTAATACTTACTGCTCTTCCCTCGATCCAATTTATAAACAACAAAAGAAACTGGTACGCATTATAATGTTCAAAGACAGACTCACGCACATCAGACCTCTCTTTAATTCTCTGGGTTTTCTTGACATTTATGACCAACACAAGCTCCAGCTAGCATGTTTTATTTATGATCTTTACAACAATAATATCCCCCGCGATCTAAGTAACTATTTATCTTTTCCTGGCCATTCATACCAAACTATATCCTTCTCAAATGAAAACTTCGCTTGCATTGGTCAATTTTCCCTGGATAACTATGGAACCAAATTGTTGAATAGCATTCCTAACCATATTATAAATATTTCCAATCGCAATACTTTCAAGCAAACATTAAAAGCACATTAAGCCAATGCACATAGTTAAGTTTCCTATTCACATACCTGTAGTGATAAACAACTACCATCTGAAATGTTATTGTCAACCGAGTTTATTGCATTTATATTTATTGTTATTTCTCTTGGATTGTATAAATGTAATTTTATTTCTTAACAAAACGCCAGCCAAAATGATTATTTAGCTCCATCAGTATTCGGGAGCAGACTAGACTAGCTTCACTTAAGCTATTTTCTGCTGCCCAACCATTACTGCTCATCTTATAATATAGTTATATACGTCAATTTAATGTGGATTTCCTCATGATATAATGTAAATTTCGTCTTGAATTTAATAGCTATGTATCTTCTAGCATAATGGTGAATAAAAGCGATGTGTGATAGAATCAATTACTGTAAAACATGACTCTTTATTTAGCATGACATTTTAGCTAATTCAGGTGATCCTTAATTTTGCGAATTCAAGCTATTTTAAAATATATATCTCACAATGCTTATTGGCACTTCAGCGATATTAGCATTTGTTAATTTACACCCCTTTGTAATAATGGGACTGTGGCTAATTCATGCATCGAGACAAATTCTCTAAAGTGACATGAAACATGTTTTATAGTAAATTATTTTTATTAATGAGAAGATTGGGTTGTTTTTAGACTTCAGACATGCAACGAATATTAGACAAAAAATAGAGATCGTTTAGCAATTCCCGATAAATAAAGAGTTAATAAATTTACGGCTTAAAATGTTTACGTTGTTTGTTTTTTCTCACCGCTTTCCATTCTAAATTCATTATCAGTTTGTTGCCCACTGGGAAATGTTCAAAGCGTGTTGCCTAGGAATGCTAAATGGCATAGAGGTGCTAGTTCTGCATCTGAATTATCATTGCTTGTGGATATGCTGTTTCACTACGCTGAATATGAGGCAATTCCAATGCTACTCAGCATGATTCAATCCACTCCACCTGCTGTAGCTGCTGTTACTCATTGCAGTTATTATGTCATCAGACATCCCATTATTGAAGTGGCGCAAGTGGTGGTACCATATAATCGTGTTGTTGGTTCACCTCTACCTCTCTCCTGTGGCTCAGAAGTTGATTGTTCATTGAGTAGCCAAGCTGGGTCGTCTTGTAATGTTCTCGTCTTTATCTTCGCCTCTTATGCCGACACTGTCAATGCGGCTCTCAATGCTCATATTGCCTCTTTGCCAGTTGTGGTATCTTTGGTCACCATGTAAAATTATCAACGGAAGAGCTTTGTTGCATTCTGCAGTTACATTTTTGAGGTATGACACTGGGTTAATAAAGTATGTTCTGGGGCCAAATGTTGATTTTGTGCTGATAAACCACATGATGTCCAAACTCTGAGGGTGTCATGTGAGGCTTTTCACTGTTGCTGCTAAGTCACCTTCAATCGATACTCCATTTACAAAAGCATCATAACATTTGTCCACTCTCTGTTGCCCCCCCCTATGATGCCAATGTGACAATTTTTTTGACCCACATCAAGGCTTGCATTTACGTTTTATGCACTCGTCTGTTTGCTCAGAAGCAGGTCAGTTAGAAAGTTGGAGAATATACTACCAACCACCCCAGTTTACTGTTTGTGGCTTGTAGTGTGACCTCATATGACTTGGATCAAGTGATGTTTCATCTACCCATCACTCACTTTGTATTTACAATGGCTACATTGAGGACCAATCTGATATTGCTGCTCAACCTTGTTTTGTTAAGATTTTACAGGGCCAGAGCAATTCAAATCAAAGAAAGTTTAGAAAGAACTCCCGTGTGCTGAGAGTATTGGAGACACATCAAAATTTAAGATTTGCT